AAACAACCTTGGTCAACCCCCCCCCCCGCATTTGATGCAGAAGGTGTGGGACTTGTCGGAGATGGATGGGATTGCGAGCAACGCGGACGATATATCATGCATTTCTCGAGCGGAGTGCAGTCAAGTCAATTGGAAAATTTTTTTAAAACAGCCGCTTTTTTTTCATTGTTATTTGGGCAAAATCGATCCGGTCTCACAAAAAAAAATGTCTAATTAGCAAAACCGACCGCAACAGGGTCGTTTTTGCAATACGAACTGCACGGGGACTAGCAGTCCGTGCCAGTCGCCGTAAACCCCACCGGCCTCCCTTTCTTTTCGTATGTCTTTCGTTCGGTGTTCGTTCATTCCTCTTGTGACACTCTCCCCGAAGAAAAAAAAAAACCCCCTCGAATAAACTTCCGTCGACCCCGCCCGCCCCCGCGGCCGTACCACCGGACATTTGCACGTTGACCATCCGGGGCCGCTCTCGGTGGACCGATCATCGCCGCCGACCACCGCCAAATTGCCACGGGCCTTAGGGGTCTTTTCGTTTCATTCCTCTCGTGACCAGTCCGCGCTCTCCGTGACGGCCCTCGACCTCGGTCGCGGCCGCCGACCCATTCAACCCCCCACCGAACCCCCCCCAATCCTCAGGTGTGGTTTTTCTTTTAATTTTGCTGTTAATTTTTGGAGAGGGCATATTCATCAAATTTTGCTGATTGAGTGAATAATGTGATTTTTGGGAGTTTAGGGTTTAGTTTTAGCCAATCTATATTACATTATGGAGAGGGGTTTAGCAATGTATTTTTTAAGAGGGGATATTCATCAAATTTTGCCTTAGAATTGGGGTTCAATAATTGTTTTTGGCCTTGTTAATTTTTGCTGTTAATTTTGCTAGAATTGGGAGGATTAGTTTTTATTTTGGCAATAGGATGAATAATGTGATTTGAGAGTTAGGAGGGTTTAGTAATTATTGTTTTTAACAATATGGATGAATTAATAATTAGGGGTTTAGCCCATTATTTTGGGAATTTTTATTCAATATTTAATAGATTTATTGCATTATGATGGACCTGTGTATTTTCAGTTTCGGGATGACGAACTCCATATCCATTATTTGTTTCTTTAATTGGAAAGCCTCGGTCGGAGTTGAATAAATTTGCGGCGTATTGATGGAGGTTCTCGGGAAATTGTTCATGCGTATCTAAGTTCGTGTAATTTTGATGGAATCGAGCGTAGGAAATACACAGAGTTACTAAATTAAGAAAGAAGGAATATACAATTAGGGGTCTCTCATTGTGCGATAAAATGAGGAGTAGAACTATTTGCCCGTGGGATTTACTGGAAGATGGAGGAACTTGAATGACATGAAACAATTAGTCGAGAAGCAAAACGTCAATTGGTTGTTTTTATTGCAGAAGTATCCGATTCAGGAATTTGCCCCAAGTTATCACGACACCTCAAAAGAGAGTTTATAAATCGGAATGTTAGACATAAATAAGGAACAACGAATCGATTTGAGGTTATAAAAAAAATGACAATCTCCAAGTCAAGAGCCAATGTCTCAACCACCACAACATTTAAGAATGTAATTCTTAATCTCGGGACGTCAACATAAATAATATATAACGACGCTAGCCACCAGTACGGGAGCAATTGAATAGAAGAATGAAAAAGCAGATGGACTGATATCAGATACATATTGAAGAAAAGATGGCGCTGCAAAATTGAATAGCATGCATGTGGCAGCTGGATCGGATGATAACACCGGTTTGTGGGGATGGAGAAATTTACAAATTTGAACAATGATTATGTGAAGCTAAGATCCGTTGCACGGACGGTAATTCATAATGAGACCTTGATAAATACTTCTCAAGCTGATTTGTATTGATGTGGGCCAATTACAACAGACCTGAGACTTCAACTTTTTTAAAAAAAGGACTCTATCGATAGCAAGGAGCACTGATCTTTGCAATCGGAGAGGTCCATCAAGAAAATCGGTGTAAATCAGCCAGGGTAAAAACTAATGCAAACAACTACAATGCTGAAATGCATCTTTATACGATAGAATGAAGTTTAAAAAGAGAGGAACGCACATATGGAGCAAGATGGAAGAGATAGATAAAAAATGTCTGGTTAGGCTAAATTGCACCGGGTTGAGTAAAATCATCAAATGGTGCAATTTGTAAATATGTATAAGATATTGGCGGACTTCCACAGTTGCAACCGGTCGGTGCTGATGTCGGAATGATATAATTCATGCATATATACATCTAATAATATTGTAAGACATAACAAACTATGCCTAAGTTAGAGACCTAACTTGATAATGAAATGCAGTCGATTCAGTGTATGTGTGTGTACTCAATGACATACACGTGAGGTGAATTAAAAGATATCACTAAAACTATCAAGATCTGTGGATGTTTGTTGAAAGCGTTGGTCCTCAAAGAAAAAACAAAAAACACAAGAAAAAACAAAAAACAAAAAAAAAAAAAAACAACCCCAATATAAATTTTTATATATTTTATCTCTATTTGTAGATTGGGAAAAAGTACATAATAGAGTTACATCACAGTATCTTTGAGACAATATTTTCAAACAAATAATCCGAGGTAACTGAAATCGAAAATAATTATTTCTTTAAGGAGATTACGCCACACGGTATTATTTTTTTGAGAGGTTTCTCTTTACTCGCGTGTTTTGGGCACTGATTTTGGTTTACACCCATTAAGGGCTATATCTTATTTCATTTTTTCGTCGTAACGCTATTGCTAGCACAATATGATGGTACAGCATTTATTTGTTATAATACAAGCAGTGCTTCTTGTAGCGATTTTTTTTTGGGGTGTAGAAATGCAAATGCGGTTATTATTTCCCTCTAGCTTTGCAGTCGTATGTGAATGGTGGGAGGATACGTCTTAGTTGTGTATATTGTTGTTAATATCTTATATACAATGGATCCAAGTGTTCCGTGCACCAAGAATAATTACTTTATTTTTATTATTAGAATTATAAGGTTTTTTGATCGGTTTTAGTGCACCACATCACATCTTATTGTTTTAAGGATATTAAGAGATAATTTCAAGAAAACACGGTGAGATTAATTGGCAAAAAATCTTTTTGTGCAAGCGGGAGTGGCGACCGACACATTAAGTGTATGAACATGTGCAGGGAGAAAGAATCAAGTCTTTGTAATTATTGATGAACAATAATTGGATATTGAAAATAACTTGGAAGGCCCAACAATTATCGAGCATCAGAGTGGGCATTAATGGTAAAGGTGATGAGGGTTGCAGTTATTGCATGATGACGACTAATTGCTCCAGTGACGAGCTTTAACAGCGTTCTTAAAGAGCACGAGCTATGCTCCGAATGATTGTGTAGTAAATATTTTTCACTTTAGGTCGATTTTGCCTATTAAATTCTAAAAAAGGTTGGTTTTAAAAATTTCTCCTCAGTCAATCTATTGCTAACCTCTCGGCAATACACGTGTCGTCTTCTTATAGATTATTTGTCAAAATTAGTTTTTTTTTTCATAACAGAATTGACCTAAATCGGCTTTGTTGTGGTTTGATTCGGTTTATGAGTATAGACATGTCAGATTAGAGCTATTTTAGCTAAAACTTAACCCTCTTGCTCCCTCAAAAAATCAGACATCTTGCTCATGTTTGTATCATAAATTGAAGAGCAAACTCGTCAAATCAACTATTTTTACAAGCTAAACTCGTGTTATCTTAAATAAAGATACATAAAATTTTGGTCAAATAAGAGGTTATTAGAAAACGTCATTTAGTTTTGAGGTTTTATTAGAAAATCTTCTAATTTAGGAAGGTTACCTGATAAAAGTTGGGGGTGGGGTCGGGTGGGGGGGTTGAATTATCCTCCAAAGTCCAAGGGGGTTTGCTGGTACTTACCCTAAAAGATTTAGTAAAATTTACTTCTCACAAAAAAAAAAAAGAAAAAAAAGAGTTTTAGACAAATATATGGGGAGCAACTAGAGATAAAAACCGAACTGCTAAACTCTTCACCAAAATTACATTTCACCAAAAACAAAATTAGCTTCAAATATTTTAAAATCGAACCGAACAAAAAGTTTTTAAAAACCATACCGAACTGCTAAGCTTCAATCATTTTGTTCGGTTTAATCGATCTGAATCGATTTATGGTCACCCCCTAGTAAGAAAGTCTAGCTCAACATAACGCTAGAGATATAGTCAACATGGACAATTTTTATTGAATAATTAACCAGATCAAAATGAGATCTTAACAAAAAGGTACTAAATCTATTTACTGCAATTTAAATAAATAAACGTTTTAAATAATAGTGTCTATTGGGAAATCTATTCGGAGCCAGACATCTTTCTTTGAGACGCTATAAATTGTTTGGGAAAGTGAAATGAACGTAACCCGAAAAACAAAGGAAAAATAGGGAGGAAAAAGAAGAGAAAAAGACGGAGTCAAGATTTCCCTTTGGAAAATTATTTAAGGACCCAAAATATGGGATCAAGGGAGGGGACAAGTGATGTGTCCCCTCCCTATTGCATAATGAGTTGGCGTGGTCAATTCATTATGCAATAGGGAGGGGACACTTCACCTGTCCCCTCCATTGGTTTCATATTTTAGGAACCCGTAACAGCACTTTTTTATTTTTTTAGTCTTTTTAATACCCCGGGGTGTAATTGAGCGAAGCGATGCTTCAAAAGTAAACAGCGGATTCTGCTCCCAAATATCCCTCATCTCCTACGTCATGGTCTTCACGTTCAACCCCCGAACAAGACTTCCCCAAATAACCCCAAAAAATGAAGGAAACAAAGAAGTTCTTTCGATCAACTACACTAGGGGCCCACCAGTCAGTATAGGGTACAAAACTGGGTTTCGTTGAATCTCCTTCTCATGCTGATCACAGTCCAAGCGCTGTCTTTCTCCTCTCGATATTCTCACTGTGAAAAAAAATGGACTTACTTTTACAATATTTAATTAATTCAATATCTATAAAATTATTATACAATAAAAGTACAGTAAATGTGAAAGGAAAAAGTCTCCCACTTTCTTCTCCCTGTACTCCCCTCTCCTCTCTCCCAACAGAAGAGACAGAGATCCCTCCCCGTTTCTTCACCTAGATTCTTGAAGAAGAAAAAAGGTGCAATTTTTGGAGCGAATCTAGAGGGTTCTGATCTTAGACAGGAAGTTTTTTTTTCTTTTCAATTTTGGTTGAATTGGTTCTGAGCTATGACTAGGGCTTGATGCTGAAAGATGTTTGGATCGAAGAGGAGGGTTGATGATGAGATGGAGCTGAAGAAGGATAGAACCGTGAGGTAAGTTGCAGCTGAAAAGTTTGCATTTTGATTGATGCCCATATGTAAAGTTTTTATTTTGACGGTTTTTTTTAGCTTAAGAATAAAGGCCTAATTAAAAAAAATTAAACCATGTAAAATTGGATCAAAATAGCTTAAAACTTTGTGTAGAATGAGGTAAACTAAATTGGAAACGTATTTGATTTTCTTTTAAATTTCGAATGTATGCTGCGTACGGTAGTATGTGGTGAAAGATTCATGGAATAACTTGGATTTTCCGGGAAAATGCTTCATGGTAATACGTAATATTAGTAAATATTTGTCGGTTCTCTCATTAGATCCAATAATCAAAAAAAAAAAAAAAAATCTGCTTTATACTTCTAAGTTTGGAATGTTCTTGTTGTTGTTGTTGTTGCTGCTGCTGCTGCTGTTGTTGTAGAGTCAAAATAACTAGCTAGAATATTAGTCATATGAAACAGTAAAAGGTGCATAACCATAACCATCACAATTATCTTCTTCATAAAACATAATCCCACGCTAGAGATAAAAACAAAAATACAACCTTTTTCTACCTTGAGAAATGAGAAAGCAAAGTATGAAATTTATACAATTTTCATATCCTACCTTAAGCATGTGTTGCATATAATAGGATGTACTACTACATTAAGCTGAAACTCATCTATTATCAGCGGATTTCTATGACTTGAGAGAGAAGCATGAAGGGACATTTTGACAGCTAACATGGCAATAAGCATCAAAGACTTAAATTTGCACTTATGTGCTGAGACAATCCTGGTTAATAGATGACATTACTCATGTTCGTCCATTTATTAGATTATTGATCGGATGGTTTAAGTCATTTTCACATACATCTGTCTGTTGAGAAACATGCACTTAAATCCAACACATTGATATGTGATTTCTCTTGCCGTCCTAACTGGTATACATTTATAAGCAAACAACAACTCCAACCTTGCGAAATAGTCAAATCAGTTTCTTCCTGAGCGTTATTTAAGCAGTCTCAACTATAGGAGGGAATATTTAGGAGCCATTCCAAGATCTAGCACCTATACATTTTGCTTTACCCACAGCATGTGCCTATCCTTTTGCTGACTACCCGTCTACCTACTTAGAAATTAGAGTTTCCAATTGGAACTGAAGCTTTTCCAACCTTCTGCTCCTGAAAATTCCACTCTTGGCCGCTCCATTGAATGTAAATTACCATTTATTAAACCATTACATAATAATTCTCTAAGAGATCAAGATTCTGATCTTGAATATTTGTAATGCCTGTCAAACCCTGCTTCCCAGCACACTTTTTAACAGTTAGTTCAACTATTCCCCTCTTACATTCTCAACCTTCACAAGAATCACAACTCCGACCCATATGAACTTCATCTAATCAGATCTACCTTTTGACAGACTAATGTGGTAGTGTTGTTTCGAACTCTATTATGTGTCTTTCTAGTGTTTATGGTTGAATTACTAAACTGTTTTGCCTTTTCTGCACATAGCTCGTTGCATAGCTCTAAACTTAGCTGAAAACTTGCACCTTTCTTGTTGGGTAAAAAGCCGTGTCGAGGAACCAAACCAACCGCCGATTAAAGAAGGCAAAAGCCAACCAAAATCAATGCACAAACTCAAAACACCAATTTTAACATGGTTCGGCAATTGCCTACGTCCACGGGACAAGAAGGGGATGATGTTTTCACTAATAGAGAAGAAGAGTACAAATTAAGATTACAAATCACTCAAAGGAACAAACTAATCTCACCACAAAACTCTTAATCTCTCCAAATAAACCCTAATCAAATAGCTCAGAAAATATCTCTTTTCTGTGCTCCAAATATCCCAAACTCTAGCCTTAAGAAACCCTAGAACGTGTATTGGTATTTATACAAACACCAAAACCCAATAAAAACAGGAAACACAAAACAAGCCCATACCCGCTACGCGGTCGACCACCAAAAGCTCGTGGTCGACCGCGATCAAACGACAGAGAGTCAAAAATCATTACAGGGTATCGCGGTTTCTTCAATTCTTCACCTCGGTGAAGTTTTTTTCAAAACTGAGCCGACACCAACCAAACCAAATGCCTTACTTGTTGCGTCCAGTACGAAGTAAAATAATTCACGATAACAGACTCAATGCATAACAAGTCGAGACCCAAACGGGAGTGCGAACACTCTCCCAAACGTCGGTATCTACTCACCAAATCGGCTGCATCAAAACTGACTGCCTACGTATCCTTTTGTCCAAGGAATCAAGTCTTCACGTAGTTCACCCACTAGCCTCCAAAGTACCTCAATCCAATAGAAGAGCACGTAACCCTCCTCCATCATCACCAAATTTGCGACTGATAGCACCTCTGATGACCTCAAACTGAAACGATCCAAACACCTCTGCCTGAGGTGAACTAATGGCCATGTCCAAACTACGCCTATCAGCTGCACTCAAAACAATCAACGCGTCATCTGCATCTGAAACCGAATGACCCCCATGCTGTGTCACCTCAGCTAAAGTCCTAAATAATACAGAATGATTTGGAGTATGTGGAGTAATATCCACCCAATGTGGAGTAGCATCATCTTCCACCCGTTGTAATATCCAACTGGTCTGATCAACACTCTTTACCTCCCGAGAGTCCAATGTGATATACCTGCTCAGAACGAAATCAGAAGCTCCCAAATGATAGCCAAACGAGCATCTGAATCCCAAACGCACAATCAGATCAAATTTCACATTCTCGATGTGATCAAGTGCGGGTAACCAAATATCTGACGTCAACCAAAATCTAAAACAGCTCCACCAGATCCAAAATCTCCAAACGCAGCAGTCGGCAACCTATGCATAAGATGACCCAAACATGTCGAAGCCCGAATACTAAATCCAATGCTCGACAACCAATGCCGATCCTCCTTCAGAAAGGAAGAGCTCACCAAATCTGTCATCTCATATCATCGCCTCAATATCTCATCTCCAATGAAGTGTCTCCAACTGTCATGAGTTTGACACAAATGCAAGAAAGGATCCCTACCAAAGCTAGAACTATGGGTTATCTTTCTGTCAATACACTTCTTCCAATTGTTACAGACTACTAGGACTTCAAACCAACGGGGCTTGGTTGTAACCCATAAATACCTAGTACAATCCCCAACTACAGCAACAAAAAAACGATTACCTCATAATGATACCTCCTTGGAAGGCCCCCAAATGCCTGACTGAACACCTCTTAAAAATCCCCTCGATCGATGGATAGAAGTGTCAAGCTCCACCACGGTCTTCTCGCTCATCCCAATGTGCTCAAAGGACTTCCATTTGTAGGTTAACGCACTCCTCAACAATCTATGCACGACATCGTCAATCAAATACCCCAACGTCAAACAACACCACAGTCTAGCCAAATCTAATGAAGTCGTCAGCGTTCTATCAATCACCGTGCTCCCAAACAAATAGTACAAGTTACTCCTTGTGACGTCCTTCATCATAATCATGGACCCAAATATAACATTCAAACGTGCATTCATCAAGGTCACCTTATAGCCTGCTGTCTCCAAAACTCCAAGTGAAATAATGCTCTTCAACTGAGAAACGAACCTTACTTCAACCAACTCCCGAATCACCCCGTCACTTATCTGAATACGAACGGTACCGATACCACTAATAGAGTATTTGTGATCATTACCTATGAGCACAACATCCCTTCTTTCCAACTCCTGAAAGCTAGAGCACCAATCCCTCCTAGGATAAATATGATATGAGGCACCCGAATCCAACATCCACTCAGTGGAGTCAGCAACACAAACTGACGGAAGTGCTGGGCACGAATAGCCCGAAGAATCTGAATCCGAAATATCGCCACTAGCCTTGGCCACATTCACCTCTGAAGCTTCAATCACTTTCCCCTTATTCTTCCTGGCTCGATCATTTAATTTTGGGCATTCGGCTTTTCAATATCCATCTTCTTTATAAAAAACACACCGATTCCTACGAATTTCAAGATGTGGCCCTCTAGACTGCGACCTTCTACCTCGGTTTGGATTCTTTGCTCTTGCAACCAATGCCCCCGTTACCGGCTCAATAGAAGTCTCCTTATCCTTCTTCCTAAATTGGTAATTCACAAGTACAACGGTGATCTCACTATATGAAAGAGGTCTTTCCATTAATAAGAGTAAGGACGAAGATCTCATATTTCTCGTCGGGCAAGGAACTCAACAATAACGTCTTGTCCTCGTCTTCAACAATAACATCTACATTCGTTAAATCTGTAAGAAGTTTCGTGTAGTGGTGTATGTGATCACCAATGGATGTTTTCTTTTTCAATTGGAAGCGATAAAGCCTCCTCTTCAAATGCAAGCGATTTTCGACGCTTTTCGTCAAATACTTGCCCTTTCTTAGCCGAAGTCTCATTCATCACATCATATTTTAGATCTTGAGTGAGATAAGACCTAATCACACCATACGTCGTTCTATTCATTTTCTTTCAAACCTTCTCATCAATGTCGTTCGGTTTTTCGTCCAACTCCAACGTATCTTTCAAATTCTACGTATTGAGCGCATCCAAGACTTTGCATCACCAAAGTTCAAAGTTGTTAGTGCTATTGAACTTCTCCACGTCAATCTTCATCGAGTGGATATTCAAACTTTAGACAGCCTTCACGTCTGAAGAACCACCCTCAACACCTTCTTTCTCGGTCATAATCCTCAACACACCAACAACCAATGCGGAAACAAACGAAGAATAGATCCAAAACTGAGAAAAGAAAGAAGCTTTACCAAAAAAAATTCCACATTTCTCACAAATTGAAACCCTAGACGAGCTTCCCAAATCGATCTACTCCTTTAAATAGCCCAAACGTAGCCCGTGCTCTGATACCAATTGTTAGGTAAAAAGCCGTGTCGAGGAATCAAACCAACCGCCGATCAAAGAAGGCAAAATTCAACCAAAATCAACGCACAAACTCAAAACACCAATTTTAACGTGGTTCGGCAATTGCCTACGTCCACGGGGCAAGAAGGGGATGAGGTTTTCACTAATAGAGAAGAAGAGGACAAATTGAGATTACAAATCACTCGAAGAAACAAACTAATCTCACCACAAGGCTCTTAATCTCTCCAAATAAACCCTAATCAAATAGCTCAGAAAATATCTCTTTTCTGTGCTCCAAATATCCCAAACTCTAAGAAACCCTAGAATGTGTATTGGTATTTATACAAACACCAAAACTCAATAAGAACAGAAAACACAAAACAGGTCCATACCCGCTACGCGGTCGACCGCCAAAAGCTCGCGGTCGACCGCAATCAAACGACAGAGAGTCAAAAATCATTACAGGGTATCGTAGTTTCTTCATTTCTGACATTTTATTCTAAGGACAAGAAAAAAATATCATTCAAACAAGAGTCATGTTAATTACCTCTATAATGCAGAAGTACTCTCTTCTTGTGTTGGTTTTGACATGTCTGAATCAACAATTCTTATTTGACCTACAAAATATAAATAGTTCTATGAGTTGGGCATAGTAACCCCTAATCAAATCTATCATATTTGCACGTTCACACCCCAACTTTAGATACTTACTAATTGACCCCTCAAATGTCACTTTTTTATCTACCTGTGAGTTTCTAATAACAGTAATATGCTCCTAATTGAGTTAATTAATTTGATTAATTTATAATTGGACAGAGAGGGAGGAGAGGAGAATTTTTTTTTTTTGGGGGGGAGGGTAAATTAGCAAGCTTCTCCTGTCTCTCTCATACTCTCTTTCTCTTGCTCTCTCTATCTTATGATAAATATAAAGCTAATTAACTTACATAAGGGTATATTAGTGATGCTTTAATATTGATGGGTAGAAAATACTAATAGGGAAGTGTAAAATAGCAGATACCTAGGTTTTGGGGGGGGGCAGATTTGCAAATACTGTAGATTGTGGGGTATATATGCAAAAACTCAAAACTCTAATATTTCTAGTAGTAGTATTTATGTGTTCAACGGATTTAATGTTCTAATATAATATTTCATCAATTAGGTTCTATCCTGAAGAGAGGCAAAACCCATCTAAACCTGTGTACCAATTGCCAAAAACCGGTGGACTCAGCAGAGTTAGCCCCGGGAATGTAGGGAAGTCCAAGGTGTTCCCTGAGGACCATGAGCCTTGGAGGAAGAGAATATTCGATCCGGGTAGTGAGATTGTGCTGAAGTGGAACCATATATTCCTAATCTCATGCTTGGTTGCTCTATTTATAGATCCTTTGTACTTCTATTTGCCTTCTGTTGATAACGATAACAATACGTCGTGCATTAAGCTGGATCACAATTTGAGCATTGTTGTCACCTTTTTCCGGACGCTTGCGGATTTATTCTATATGCTTCACATTGCTATAAAATTTCGGACTGCATATGTTGCTCCAAGCTCGAGGGTGTTCGGCAGGGGAGAGCTCGTCATGGATCCAAAAAAGATTAGAATGAAGTATTTGAAAACAGATTTCTTTGTAGATTTAGCAGCTGCACTGCCACTTCCCCAGGTAACCTTGAAGTTTTATTTTGATGATCTCAATAATGTATCATTGTTCTGGGAAAACAATATCATCCATGAATTGCACAATCACACATCCCCCACCCCCACCCTAAAAAAAACAAATAACAAAATAACAAAAAAAAAGTATATTATTTCAAGGTTTTTTTAACATGCTGATAGATAGTTATTATTCATAGACAGGTTCAACCATTCAGTAATTGTTATGAAGCTAAAGCAAATGCTTTGTGCTGCAAATAAGTTGATATAAGCTTACTTGGTTTACATTGGCGGGATATTTGAAAAGTGTCACGATATAATTAAAAAGTACGAAAATTTACAACCTATGTTACCCGAGTACTTTTATCGGAAGCCATGTCCAATATATACCCGTACCCATATTGAAACATATATTTATAGGAAGCCATACCCAATATGTACCCATACCCGTATTGAAACACACACACACACACACACACACACACATATATATATATTACATACATATATATGTACATACATATATGTACCTACGCACGCGCGCACACACACATATATATTTATATATAATATAGAGAAATATGGGTATGCTTGGTACCAAGCACAAATTTTGTGCTTGGTAGTGAGGTGGCACAATCCCTTCCACTCATTCAAATGGGGGACCACATTCACATGGGTTGAGGAGTGCATGAGGATATGCAACCATTTGAATGAGTGAAGTGGATTATGTCACCTCACTACCAAGTACAACCTTTTGTGCTTGGTACCAAGCATACACATTTCTCATATATATATCTATACGTTGGCTGTGTATATATATTATATTCGCTGTGTGTGTGCGCGCGCGGCGTATAGTTATATAATTTATAATATATATATATATATATATATATAGTATATATATATATATATTAGGTACGCGCGGCGCGCTAACCACAGCCAAATATATATATACTATACACAGCAATAATAGTATATATATATAGTATATGAGAAAAATGGGTATGCACTGGTCCGAAGCACATTTGTGGCTTGGTAGTTGATGTGTCCTCCTCATGCCAGTTTTTTCAGCTACCCATGTGAATGTGTCCATATTAAGATGAGTGGAGGGGATGTGGACACTGCACTACCAAGCACAAATTTTTGTGGCTGGTACGCAAGCTACCATATTGCTCTAATATATATAATATATAATATATATTATATATAGAGTAGTGGATAATATATGTAATATATAAATATGAGGTAGGGGGGGATATGAGAAAATGGGAGGAACCTTGTTGGTACGCAGTTGCTTAAGCAATTGTGGTAGTGGATGTGGGCACACGGTGAAATCTTGCCCCTATATCACACGTGCGAATGAGATAGAGCCTGCACGACGCCTTTGCATCAACTCAATGTAGATTGTAGGGACGAGGAGAGTTAGGTTCACATCAACTAGCCAAGTTGTTTGGAGCAACTTGTACCCATAGTTTCCTCCAATTATTTCTACTCTGCTCTCTCTCTCTCTCGTGCGTCTAATGATAAGTATATATGATAATATATATGATATATATAGCTATATATGAAGTATCGCCATGACCGTTGATCCTTTTACGAATTTGCTGTCATGTACCAGTACTAGTACCCGTGCAACTTAGTTACAACTGTCTCTGATAAGTTTTCACATTTTGAAAAATTACGTAATCATCATTAGTAACATTGTCAAAAAAATCTTTCTCAATTAGTGGGTACAAAATTAGTGGGGCTACCTAAGATTTTAGTTGTGATTTTATTAGTGGATTTTTCAGTTGGGTATTGTAGTATGTGGAGCAAAGTGGTGTCACACGACACCAATTTGCTCCATGATCTGCCATTGCTGTCTTATGTAAGAGTTTTAACTGTATTTACTTTTATTATGCAGAATTAGAAAGTTCTATAATATATTATTAATGAATTCAGATTATTTGTATGCTTATTATGTATTTTCTTCTAGTTTCTGTTTAGCCTTCGCTTTATCATTTTGACAAGAAAAGATATGCTTTACTTAGTTTTTATTTCGCTTCTAAAATGCAACCTATCCTTCACTTATTTGAGGTTTAAATGTTTGTCAGCTGCTAAAACCTAGCATTTCCAGCAAAAAATGTAAATGGAGATATCATGTGTAGGGAGTGATCATATTTATTATCAAATTTCCAGGCAACATTTTGAAGAAAAGAGAAACCACTACAATTAATAAACTAATTTTTATGCAGCACAAACATAAAGAAGCTCAGGCTAATAGGAAAGAAAGAACTTTGTAACAATTCACAAATTTCGAGATATAATTAGTTAAGGATTTCCTCGTCGAGCCAAGCAATTAGATTGGCCCAGTTAAGCGTCTTAATCGTTTATAGAGATTTGAAAGATGTTGCATATCCCCATCGTTAGTCAAATTTACCATAGCGCTGATGCATTTTCTGGAGTAACAATTTACTAATGTATGAGCAATTTATTTTGCAAGACGAACTTCTTTATTAAGCTTTTCTGGTAGATGCTTTATTCTTTGGAATCTAAGTGTGGCCTGGCATCTTATTTTTTCCTGCCTTTCTTTTGCAGATAGTCATCTGGTTAGTAATACCAGCGATTAGAAACTCTAATGCTGAGTACAACAACAATGCTCTTGCTCTGATTGTCCTAATCCAGTATGTTCCAAGATTATATCTCATATTCCCACTTAGCTTACAAATTATTAAAGCTACAGGTGTTGTTACAAAAACTGCTTGGGCTGGAGCTGTTTATAATCTACTCCTCTACATGATTGCTAGCCATGTATGTAACTCTGGATTTAGTATAATGCATGTTGTACGCACTGTCTTTAAATAAATAAGAGTGGTTTCGCAAAAACCCCATGAACGTTGGGGAGGGTTTTGCACAGAACCTCCTGAACTTTGTGAGTCAGATAAAACCTCCCTGAACTTTCAAACTTATAATAGGACCTCTCTACTATGAGAAAGTCTCATAAAAAACGTTTTAATGAGTTAAGAATAAGTTTGAATTACGACTAATAAAAATTTTGTGATGCAAAATTTGAACAATGAACATTCATGTGGGAGAACAAGACAAAATGACATATTTTGACTTTTTACTCTACACGTTAATGCCATTTATGAAAATTTCCAATAGATCAAGGGGGTTTAGTATGATCAGGAGTTCTCTCAGACAAAGTTCATGGGGGCCTTTTTCCAAAACCCCCCAAAGTTCATGTTGGGGGTGTATTTTTTATACTCTTAAATCTATCTCTGTGTTCCGTGCCTCAGTTCTAAATGGAGTTATTTACTGGACTAATATCTAAATGTATAGGTTTTTGGTGCTGCCTGGTATCTGCTTTCAGTTGAAAGGCAGACAACATGCTGGAGATCTGAATGCCATAAAGAGCATAATATTGGCTGCATAACAAAGTTTCTAGACTGCGACTTTTCAAGTCACACAGATAGGCAAATATGGGCAAATAAGACACAAGTTTTTTCAAAGTGCAATGCTGATGGTAGTATCAGTTTCCAATATGGTATATTTGCAAATGCATTAACCACTGGTGCTGTCTCCTCAGACTTCATTAGAAAATACTTCTTTTGCCTTTGGTGGGGTTTGCAACAATTGAGGTATGGTTTGTTTATTCTAATATTTTTCATATAGGATTTCTTGCTCTTGCGATATGGCAGATTTCTCTAGGTTGCACGTATATCTCTTGCCCATTATAATACCCGCAAGAATGTTACAAAATACAAAATCATAGTTTCAACATTTCTGAACGTTTTGTCTGCATGCTTTGATGGTAGTTCTTAGAATTTTAGATAATGGGGCTGTTTGGTTAATTTCCTAGAAACTAATAAAAAAAAGGAAATTGGTTGAAGAAATTTCCCAAAATGGTTTCATACCATTTCCCAGAAGGAAAAAAAAAAACCTTGAAATGGGTTTCCTAAAGACAAAGTCAAATCATCCAGTAGGAGGGTGCCACATCTCCTCTCTTGGTTTCCAAGTGGGAACCAAACATTAACAAGAATAAGTGTTATAGGAAATGGTTTCCTATAATACACTTTTCTAGTTTTTTCAACAACCAAACAGACCCAGTAGCATCTTTATCATTATTGCACTCGGGCTCACATGAAAGTTATGCTTAACATGTGGAACTGAAATTTTGTTCATTTTTTAAAAATGTGACAGTCATTTGACGCACTCTTCATTTCCAGCCTATCAACTTTTATAAGCTAAATGCTCCTTGATCAGGATGAACTAGTGATGCAGCCAATCCCATACTACATGGATACAAAACTCTTCGGATTGGAAGTTAAAAATCTTATGAAGAATAATATTTTAGCTATACATTTTAAAATAGATTTTTGATGTAATCCATATAGCTTGAAGAATATGATCATTTGTTCCTGTGGTGTTTGAAAAAATTTGGAAGCTTTTGCATGTTAACAAACCCACAAGAAGAAACTAGCTTATTTAGTCTGTCATTTTTTTTTCAATTTCTTTCACGGCATTCCAGTATTATGAGATATGACTTCTTCTTTCTTCTATCAGTTCGTACGGCCAGAATCTGCAAACGAGCACTTTTATTGGGGAAACATCATTTTCCATTGTGATGGCCATTATTGGGCTTGTTTTATTTGCACATTTGATCGGAAACATGCAGGTATTAGTTAAGCTATCTCCTTAGAGTCACGGATGCTTGATTTGTTGTTCTAACCTTAATGTGTTATACCCTTTTCAGTTTTGCATACAGTTTTTAATTTTCCAGGTCTTTAACTCCTGGATGGATGTCAATATTTGTTTGTTTAACATGAATGCTATTTATATTTTCTCATTATCGACCTTAGCAAATATTTGATGGGCCTAAGAATCAATAAGGAAGCTTCTAGATACATTTTGCGGGCTATACACATATCTTGACTTATGTTATGCTTTGTAAAGTATAATTTCTCTGTCTTGAGTAAAAAATAGTAAATTTTCTTTCAAATCTCTCAGGATTGGATTAGGAATCTGCTTTAGTTAGTTTGTGCTCGCAAGTTATGGGAAGTCTGATGAAGAAGACTAATTGCAATTTTTGGATGGCAAGACCAGTAATTTGTGAAGTTTAACGGCATATATCCTCTTACTCAGTTTCTGATCCTAGATGTGGTCATGTCGTAGAAAATTATGAAGCTACATGGGAGTACCATGACTTGTTTGTTATTTCATGTAATGTATCAAAATTTTCTTGAGAGAAAAAAGCACAAAATTTAGAGGGATTATGTTGCCAGTAAATGATGAATGAAAAAATTTGAGATATTTTTTTACCTCAAGAGTTATTTGCAAATTACAATTAGGGGGGTTCCGCTGAGAAAATTTTAAGTTTAGGGGGTTTTGTGAGACACCCCAAAAGTTTTGTTTTGTGGTGGTGGTGTTT